CAGGATCAAAAGCAAAAAAAAAAGAAAAGATACAAAGAAAAACGCTCCTGGCGATAATTTACATAAAACGAGGTCTAAGTCGCTCAACGAATACACCTACGAATAATAAACGTGACAGAATCTCCGAACAGGCAAAATACCGCGTAACTTTTCCCTTTCTTTTCGACTATCATACACAGCGAACGTTCTTCGTCGACACAACACAGAGAGAGAGATGTACGATAAACTTTTTACCATAATCTCTCTCTCTCCCTCTCTCTTTCTCTAACAACAATGAGAAAAGATACTTGTAGATAGAACGAGCGTGTGTCACGCTCGCGCTTCGATCGATTGTTTCAATCTTTTTTATCGTTGGTGTCTCAACGATGTGTGTAAAAAAAAAATACAAGACGAACAAAACAAAAAGAGACGTACTTTTTAACTTAATTGCATCGTAAACAACAATGGGACACGAGATAAATCATTCGTGAAAAGCGTTCAGAACAAAACGTAATAATAATATTAAGAATATTCAACGAGAGAAACATAAACAAACGCCGAAACCGCGGTTTCTCCTTCCGAAAGGGAGATGAGACAAGAGGAGGACGACGAGCAAGGACTAGCTAGAAGCAGGACAAAACTCTGTACTGGAACGAGACAGGATGCTCTTTTTTTTTCTTCTTCTTATCCACGAAGTGCTCCCTTCTTTGTGGAGAAACGCAAGACAGAACCTCGAACGTGCTCTATGAGAAGAATTTCGAATTCAACGCGTAGACAAAATCCTGATTATTCTTCCGGCGGAAGAAGAATCAGGTTAAAAAAAAAAAGAAACGGAAGTGAAGGTGGAGAGACTACACCACTAGAGAAAGGTGGTACACCAGGATAGGTGGAAGCAACGAAGAGAGAAAAAAAAAAAAATAGCGAAGCTCGATGTTCGTGACTCGTGTTTCTTCTTTCGTTCTTGCTGCTGCTGCTTCTTCTTCTTCCTCTTCTGCTTCTTCTGGCTAGTTGGCTACATTATCCCGCTTCAGGTAGCCAAACTCTTCTAGCATCGTTTGTAGCCCATCGGGAACTCGTCCGGTATCCAATTCCTGTCCCCACTGCCGATACTGAAAGGAAAATAGAAGATAGCGGTTACACGAGTTTCAGCTGACACGCGATCCAACGTCGTTTCTTACACCAAAAGCGGTCTCGGGAACTTCGAGGAAGCTGGATAGGTTCTGGATTGGTTGTTGGCGGTGTGGATAGTGATGGTGGAAGGAAAGATTCTCTCCTCTTCTTCGTTTCGCTTAGTTAAGTAGGTCTCTTCGAATAGTGGACGAGTATTCTTTGGAAAGCGAAGACTGCGGGGTGTTTAGAATATGAACAATTCGAAAAGGATATGGGTTGATTTGTCTGATCGATGGAAGCGACAGAGTGAGGTAGAAAATTAGACAAAACTGAGGGTTGGTCCCTCTAATCGCAGCATATTTAACCCTTTCGTGAGCAAATTACTTTTTCACGAATTTTTTATTTATCTCTAAGATCGTGGTGTCAGTAATGGATACCAAATTCAGATTAATATCTGTTGGAATATTCAAGTGGAACATATGATTTCCATTGGTTGCGAAAGGGTTGAAGAATTAGTCTGCGCCTTAATCGTTCACAGTTACAGATTAATTTTGCCCACGATTGCAAGCAGAAATTTTTAATACTTTTAACCCTTTGCGATCGGCACATTTCTCTGGTGGGACTACCAGCTAGTCGGAGCAAATTTACATTTTTTTTTTTATGTATAAGGATATTGAAAAACAGAATATTTTGAAACTGATACATTTCGTTTAATACATACTAGTTATAGTGCATAAAAATAAAACGTTTGAATTTTTGTAATTCTCCAAAGTATGATACTTGACAAAACAAAGATCATGCCGCCATAGCGGCGACACCGATTTCTAGAACAAAACTGAAATCCCGCCACTATGGCGGCACCGATCGCAAAGGGTTAATGTCTGAAATAAAGAAATAAAGAAATTTGTAATATTTAAAATAGAGATATAAAGAAATTTTTTAATATCGAAAATAAAGAAAATCTTAATATTAAAATTTTCAAACTTAAACACCACTTCAGAAATGACGTGCAACCCTTAACGTCGCCGTTTAATGCTTGAATCGACGACCCCCCAATATCGCTTCCAACAGCTATACACAGGTTTCAAATGTATGTACATACCTTGAAAGCTTGACTCGACTTGATTCGTTAATGTTCTATCGACGGAAATCGAAAGCAAACAGAGAGTAGATCTAGGGTAAAGCTTGGACAGTCACGTTTCTAGCAGCGTCATCGCCGTTTCCAAGCAATAATATTTTCAATCGCGATAGAAATTCACACCTTCCGCGCAATTCGCTCGGCAAGCTTAGCTCATGGCTAAGCTAGAGAGATATAGAGGACTTCAGAGACGGAAGTTACGAGATATTCCAGCGCCTGCATGGCGCGGGCTCTATCGCTTTTCTAGCTAATTCTGAAAACTTCAGGGCGCGCATTACTCCTTTTGTAGCGGCGACAAAAAAGAAAGAAAAACAGAAGAAGAGAAAAAAAAGATACAGCAGGGGGTAAAAAGTAGCGCGACATGTTTACGATTCTTCGGGAAAACTTCTCCTCCTTCTTCTTCTTGTCCCGCTCCACGTGGAATTTACGATATTAACGCAAAAGTGGGGAGAGCAACGGGACAAATACAAACGCGAACGATTCTGTTTTTTTTTGCATAATCGAGGACACGTACGACTTTAAAAACGTCTAGCGTGAAAGGGAGCGCGGAATAATAGGTGCATAACTCACCTAGCAGCCGCGTAGAACTCTCTCTCTCTCTCTTTTGCTCTGTCTTTCTCTCTTTCTCTCTCTCTCTCGTCAGAGAGAAAGGATTTATTATCGCCCCGCAGCGCGAGAGGACAACCCGGGGGGATGGGGAACACCGACAGAGAGGATATACGCGGAAAATATAACGGAGAAACGAATCGTCGGGAATAAGATGATAAGTGGATAAGGAGTAGACGCGTTTCTGTCCTATGACTCACCATTTCCAGCTCCTTTCGAAGCGCGAGCACAGCCTTCTCGCGGTCGGCCACCAGCTCTTCAAGGTATTGATACCTTAGCTTCTTTCGAGCTCGACACTCCCTCGCACTCTGCCGGCTTCGTTCTGGAAAAATAAACAGGGAAAAAGCGTGAAAACGTGAGAAGCTGAGGTGGGTGGTACGGTTGCGTTTCTCGTTAAGCCACGTTCGCACCTAGAAGAGTTTATTCTCGAGGATATTGTTGGAGGATCTGCTAGCGGGTGATAGCGGGATATACGAGAATATTTTGTTGTTTTGTGTTTTGTTAGGTTTGGTCGTTTTTTTTTTAAGTTTTGTTGACAGTGGAAGAACGAAATCCGTCAAAATGGAGGATTGCAGATTTGTTGCTTTAAGTTACAGAAAATATTAAGATGCTTTTGTAAAAGTGTACGGTGATTTTTGTTGTAATAAACAAGTTTTAGTTTTCTTTAAGTTTTCTTAACCCTCTACAACCCGACTTTTTTGAGGAAAATCGAGAAGAAAAATTACAGTTGATTACAATTTTCATGACACTTGTAATAAAGAAATAAATGTATATGCAACCTTCGTTTCCTTTAAGTTCTCTTGACCCTCTATAACCCGATTTTTCTGAAGAAAATCGAGAAGAAAAATTACAGTTGACTACAATTTTGGAGACTTTTATTGTAATAAAGAAATAAATGTATATGTCAACTTAGTTTCCTTCAAGTTTTCTTAACATTCTACAAATTTTTTTGAAGAAAATCGAGAAGAAAAATTACAGTTGATTATAATTTCACATTTTTTTAAAATTGAAAAGCAAGAATTAACCCTTTGCACTCGAAGTACTCTTCCAAACGCAGACAATGTTTGACGTTGCACTCAAAGTGTTTCTCAGACACTAAAAATAAAAAACAGAAAAAAAAATATATTTTTTAGAATCTTACTTATAATTTTTCCATTCAAATAAATAATCCACTACATACACGTACCAAGCTAAAAAATCGCCAAATTGCTGCAAGATTTACTCGAGACAACTCCAAGTGCAAAGGGTTAATAATTATTCCTGAATTAGCGACACTTTCTACACCTATTTCATTCCTCTCTCCGTTATTTCTCGTTTGAAAAATATCTCTCGCACGCCGTGTACCGTATAAAACACGTTCCATCCAGAGCAAAAGGAATACCTCGTGTTTATCCCGGCTTTTCCATACTCGAGGTATCTCTTCGTCGTGTTTTCTAGACACGACCAACAATTGCCTCTAATTGCCACCCTAAACGACTGAAAGAATTCATCGTACCCTTTAAGCGTCCGCTTAAGCTCCAAGTGCGAAACGGTCTTTAAGCAGCGATCGAAAAGGCGATTACGCGGCCTTAAAAGGGGTAAGAGAAGCCAAACAAGGCGACCGCGTGTAATGCAAATGGCGCTCCTTTGGTGAATTTTTCACGTGAGATCGAATACAGTCGCCGCCGCCGCCACGGTAGTGTCGCGTTAATAATTCAAAATAGATCTGACCTAGCGCGCCAAGTCTGCGCGAGAGTTCGCGAGGAGATAAGCAAAACAGAATCCTAATAACGCGGAGCCGCGAGGAACGCGTAATACTTTTTCCAAACGACGCTGTTTTCTTGCACGAGGCTCTCTCTCCCCCTTCTCAGAGCCATCGTGAAATGCAAATATCGCTCTTTTTTCCGCAGTCAAACGAACCCGCCACGCAAGAAATACGAACGGCCGTATAATACCCGCGGCGGCGGCGGTGGCTGTGAAAATTCGCGGCTTAATGATACCTAGAACCGCGTTAAAGCCCACCTTTCGCGTACACCAGGCGAGCTCGATGTCACTGTTAACTAGTAACGCGATACTCTTTTTTTCCGCGACGCGCGGGCGGTGCTGCGTTAACAAAACGCGTCGCCTCGTATACAATGAAGCGACAGGAATTGCGGATACACAGGGGAGGATCTGGTGAGAGAGAAAAAGAGGAAAAAGAGGAAAAAGAAACGCGATAAAATGACGCGAGTAAGGGTGTGAGAACCCTCTGCTTCCGAAACTCTGGTTTCACACGCCCTTATTCGACTATAAAGAACGTTTACAAAGAAAAAGGGAGCTTTTGTGCTTGAGATAAGAAATAAGCTAGAACCAGGTGAAGAATACGATGAAACATCGGCTGCTGCGTATCGAAGCAGGCCAACTTTTCCACAATGTTCGAACGTTCGCATTCTACTCCGCATACAAAAATACCGTTATAGAGCTTTCTTGCTTAACTCCCGTACGATTTCGAGGAATAGGAAATACAGTCAAATCGAAGATATCGGAGTAAGTAAGCCTGGGTATAGTTGGTGGAAGGAATACAGAAAGGTTGTAGATTAAAACGGAGATTAGATCGGTATGCAATATTTGATATTTATGAGTTAGGACTAAATCGAAGCTGATAATGAGATACACTGTGTGAATGCCATAGGCCCACCTTCTCTAACGCAATCGTAGAAATAGGGCACGCCCATTGCCATTATTGGCCGCGATAATGGCGCGATAACATCGACGAATCGGATCGCATAGCACCGTGTGACGGAAGATTCGGGCGGTGCGAGTGAAGTATTGTCCTACGCTGAGAAGATGACGAGCAAAAGGAATGCGAGTGTCGTTGACTGTAGCAGACACACCCATAAAGTCAGATCACACGCATTTTTATTATTGTAGGATCGGGACCTCCGTACCCAAATAAGGAACCGACGAGAAAAAATAGAGAGGGCGTTATTGACATAGTGCGCAAAGTCTCTCAATTTTTTCCTTGGTTCGGTACACTAATCCATCGCGCGACGGTGAGCATCAAAGGTGAAGCGAGTGACTTGCTCCCCTTGCCCCTCTGTCGTCCCGCTCGTCATCTTCTCAGCGTAGGACAGTACTTCATGAGGCTTTAACTGAAGTTGTGGGGCCTTAACTTCTGTCAATTCCCTTGTTAGAACACTCGAAACATGTTTACTTTCACAGATGTCCGATTTTACGAGCTCGCTATACATATTTCTTCCATCAACTATACCGAGCTAGCGAACGAAGCGAACTACACAGGAGCGGCGTCGGCGTTTGATGACGTGTCCGTCGTAGACCGATACGTTAAGCGACGGGAAAATTGTCCTTTTTGTTTCTTCTTTGCTCGTGAAGCGAGGCGAGTCCTTTGCCTAAGGGATATAGGGCAGTCGGTGAACAGCGATTCAGCAAGAAAAAACTGAGTGTCTCCTGAGAAGCAAGAGGGTAACCGACAGCGTGACAATGTCCGGTGATTGTTATTAAGAATGAGTGCTCGTCATAATTTATCAATTAACTTCTAATTTACCTGATAAACATACTCTATAAATTACATACTTTCCGAAGAATTATACTTGTCTAGCTTTGCGAGTCCCTTACATTTCTATCTTTTAGAATCTTAACCTTTTGACAGTCTAACATTATGAATTACGGTCGAAAAATTGTAGATTCTACGCGTGTCCTTTTAACCCTTTGACAGTCTAATAAAATAATGACTCACGGTAAAAGAAATTTACATTCACGCGTATTTTTTTAATAATTACGTCGCGTATGATCATTTTTAAAACAAGGGATACACAACCCTACGTCATAGTTACGGCAATAATATCTCGTCCCTTTCCAACTTTCTTCCTAAAAATCTCTCTCGAGTCAAACAGTTAGATATTTCTCGCTCTGAATTTCACGCGGGACAAACTGTCGAAGGGTTAAAACCGCTTCTTCCTTAAACCGACAATGCCTCGAAAACGTAATGAAACTTAAACGATGTTAACGACACGCGAAATCGTTCGCGAGAGAAACGAGCGCCGGTAAATATTCTCCCGGGTCTCTGGATCGCGGTGAAAACTAGGCGATAAATTGTCGCGCAAAAATTACAAACGAAGGTGAAGGACGTGCGTGTCCACATTGGTCGTAACCATCGCGCGCTATAAATTCGCGTAACTCAAACGCGACGCACGATTTTTCACCGCGTGCTTGCCACTCGCTCGTTCGGCTGGCCTAGTGTGGTACACAGGAACGAGGGACCATTCGTTTGGTGGCCGCGCGCCCGCTTCCGGTTCACGCGCGAAGAAGACGAATAAAATTGATCGTAATAGCCCACCGCGGAATATTGCAAATTTCTACTACGGCGACTGTGATAAAGCTCTTTACGATCAAGGGTAGCGCGGCTATTATCGCCCCTACGGCTCACTAAGCGCGCCTTTTACGCGGCAATAAACGTGTACCATCGTCGTTTTTTTTTCTTTTTTCTTTTTAAAGAAAGAAAGCTACCTCGACGACGAAGAGGAGGTTTAACGACGCGAGGGGAATTCTATCGGAAAGAGATTCGTCCTGCCGATGGACACGACACCTGCAGAAAGACGCGGGAGAAATCGATTCAGCGTTGAAACGGAAATTAAGACTTCTCACGCAGCCATTTTGCGGTTGTATTTCGGATCACCTTTGGGATCGACATCTGAATCAAATCGAACAGATGATTCTGTTTGGGTTTAACCCTTTCGATACGGCTTCGTCTTTAGCCGCTTTGCCTCCGTTGAACGGACAGTTTTATCGCAAATACGTTACCACTGAACGGGACAACTACGACGCGAACGCCATTTTACCGGATAAGGAGCATAGCAGTTAAATTTTGTCGAACAATGTGATGAATTGGCGGGAGGAAGTTATACTTTAACACGTTTTACAGTAATAACACTTTATAAAATTGATTAATAATACCATTTTGTGTGGAAGATTTCAAAATAGCCGGCGTTCAAGGATAGACGACTATAGTGGCCGTTAGTTCACAGCGAGCGTCCAACGATGGACGACTATAGTCGTCGTTAGTATCGAAAGGGTTAAATAAAATTTCGCGCGTGAAAACAGGCCGTCAGAGATTGTATAGTCGATGGAAGCGATGTTCGCGGGATTGTATAGTCGACGGAAGCGATGTTCGCGGGATTGTATAGTCGACGGAAGCGACGTTCGAGAAATTGTACAGTCCAGGCTCGGGTAACTTCTTCCCCGCTGTCGCTTCTCGACTTCCACTACCAGTGTTCCGGTTCCCCCACTATCAACTATTTCATATTGCCTTTACCGTGCTTTGCCTCGCGTGACTGCGAATATATGCATGTAATATATGCGTAAGGCGAGGATGCAGCCTCCTTCATATACACTCCTAATCTCCCCAACCTCCTCCTATACTCCACAGGAGTTTGGTGGGGGGGACCCAGGAGTAGGGAGAGGAGTCGTCTGCGGCTCGCGAGCCTCCAGTCGCCCAGGCCTGGTATAGTCGATGAAAGCGATAACAGTGAGGTCGTAAATGAAAGAGTTAAACAGCGACACACAATTGACGTATACAGTCGCACTCAGGGCCGTGGATACGTTACTTGTGAACGGATGTTTAAAATGTCACCTTACGATCTTTCGTTAACCCTAGAAC